TTAATAGACAACCAAAAATAAACTTATAAGCAGTTATTGACTTAAGGTGAAGTGAAATTGATTTACTATGCTGAGATAAAAAGGGCAGGCAGCTTTTAATTAATACATCTTTAAACAAAAGTGGTTATAAAGTGTTTTTAAATAAGACCTTCATATAATATCATGAAATAAAACAATCTGGGGTTTCAGATACATTCAGTTTTTAACATAATTTTTTATTAAATATATTGTCAAGAGAAAATGAATTCTCTTTAGCGAATTATATTTAAAATTTTTCCAATATTCTTTACATTCCCTTTTAGCTACTCTAAAATCAAGAATATTGACAAAATAGTCAAGCAGTATGGAGTAAAACATGCTGTTTACACTTTGCACTTTAAAGTGCTGAGGTATCCTAAAATCCTCACTGGAACAACAGTGGATAAAGGTGATTTTATCACACAAGTTGCTGTGTTATAAATAAAAAGCAAAGGCAGTTTTGGAGAAAGCATTCCTTCAGTAATATGATTTCAATCTATAATCAAATACTTTCTATTATTTGAATAATGTACAGAGCTGAATATAACTGAATCTACCATTTATTAAAAAGAACTAATTAGGCTATATTTAATCTGCAGACAAATGCGTCTTATATCGGATTTTTTTGCTGTTATTCAAATGAGTTCAGACTAATGAACAGCAGTCTAAATGGCCCAATTCCAATTTGTTTACTGACCAAAAAATCCGATTTGAGCAACCTCCCTATGTGGACTAAATCAGATACTTATCCAAGAGGTTTGAATCCCCTGTGAACGGTCATGTCACATTTGATCCGACATTTGATCCGACTTTTACGTCATTGCCAGAGCACCCAGTAAACATCCACACAGACTTCTAGGCAGTTGCAGTTACTGATTGCTTTGCAGATGGCTGCTGTTTTTTTTGTTACCTTCTTTCTTTCATAATGATGCGGCCATTAAACTGCCATTTTCTATCATTCCAGAGTTTAATAACAACAGAATCCAGCATCCACTATAATGTATTGCTTTGCTTTTTTTTTTCTAGAAAACTTTATTGACACTTCTAGTGAGACTCACACCCATCATTACTTTCAGAAACTACTGTACACTGAACATTGTTTCTTATTTTCAACAGTTGATAATGACAGTATTGTCACATAATATATTTGCATCTGGATCACAGATATTGCAGCGACCAATGCTGAGTTGGGGCGTCATCTACTGAATCTTTATGTCCTATTTTATTATGTTTTAATTTGCTCTATCTCTTTTGTAAATGGGTGCACTGCAAGAAAAGAATTGCCTGCAAGGGATTAATAAAGTAATTTTCATTATGATTCTATAACTAGGGATAAAACTAGTTTTATATTTATGCTGATACTATCACATAAAACCTATTGGCCCATGTCCTTTTTCTCCTTTTATGCATTTGAAAACAGCAAGGTCCAAACTCAAATCAATATATGCTTCCATTGTAGGGAATAAGGGATAGACTATGACAGGACTAAGATTAATTGTGATATATAGATTATTGAATTGAGTGTCAATTAAATTACTAATCAAATAAACATAATTAGGACATACAAATTCTTAAACTTGCCATTTGCAGAGAGAACAACTAAGCCCAAACTATACTAAATCCAGAGCTCTGCCTGATTTGAATTCTATGATTCTATCTGATTATCAAACTACAACTTACATTTCTCCAGTGCCTTAATTCCACCAACATGTACTGTATTGATGACATACTATGTATAATGTTATTTGACATACTATTAAGTTGCCCTGAAATATTTCAGGCAACTACAAGAATGCTTCACCGACATTGCATTAAACAAACACACCACTCCCCTAGCATTGGTTGTATTTCAGAATCAGACATACTTTAATAATCCCAGAGGGAAATTACTTTTGTTACACGTTCCAGATACACAAACATTTATATATATATATATATATATATATATATATATATATATATATATATATATATATATATAAGCATTTGTAAGCAGTAATTCTATGGCTTTCAATTCTGTTGTCATTTGCTCAATCAGTTATGCTTTGTCTGGTTAAAGCTAAACGGTATCGTTAAAATAAAAAAAAGAAACACAACTGCTAACTCTCCCATTTATTTTAGTTCGGACATTTTGCAACACAGGAATTCACATTTTGATGCCTGGCCACTGTTGAGAGCCCCAGGCTCCAAGGGGAGAGGAGAGAAAACATGCAACAGCGCTGAGCTCCAAAACACAGCACTGGTAGTTAGGAAACAATTGAGACTGACTGTAAAGAACAATTTCAAAACAGATTAAGTCCTTTTTTTTAGACGGCATGTTGCTATCGGATCAATTTTCATACCCAACATGCAGTCATGGCTGGTTGTGAAATATATGTCTCCTCTTGCCTGTACTGTGAACTGCCGCTGAATTTTTTTGTTGTACACAGTCTCAAAACATACCAGCTTTATTTCACCCCTGACTTTAGCAAATATAACCCTACTATTAAAAACTGACAAACTACTGCACAGCTTGATTTAAATGGAAGCTGTTATGTTGTGATTGAATGACATTCTCATAAACTGTGTTGATTATGAAACAAGTATGGGATACGTCGAGATTACTGTAGACACATTAATATAACTATAACTATATTTAATAAGTTACAAGATAAAAGTCTGTTTTTTTGTAATTTATATGTTGTTTCCCAACTTTATGCAGGATAAGAGGAAATTTTCAATAAACTGTTTTAAGAGGGTAAAGATTATCAGTCATTTTTCTGCACCAGCTACTAGCAGCTACCAACAGTTCTAATGTGATATAGCGGTACAAAGTTTAAGGATGCAACTTATCACTGTATAATTTCACTAATTCTAAAACCTTGAAGAGTAATGTCTCATTTCAAATGCAACTTACCCAAATGCAAAAGCATAACACGATCCCAGACAATCTTTGCAAAAAGCCACCAAATTTGTCAGTGCCAAGTGGCCCTGAGGGGCAGATCGAAAGTCTTAATTTGACATATTGAGGGACTGACAGTGAACCGAGGGATGCAGCTGGTTATGAGAGATTATTTTGAGGGAGATGGGTTTTTTTCTCCCTTCGTTATGCCCAGTGATCCAGAGTCTTATGGTCCTGTTGCAGTGATACTCTAAACCTGGTGCTTCCAAGAATAGGAGGACAAGGTGACTCACTTATGGCTGAGTTGGATGAACATGTGGCAACTATGATGTAAGTAAGTATCAGTGATGTAAGAACATTAGAACCAATTGAAAATTCATCTGCAATAGCCACCATTCAACCCTACAATGGAAGCACAAAGACAGATTTATTGGGTCCCGATCACGTGCCACAACTATAAAAAAAACACACACACACACAAAACAAAGAAAACTAAATAAAAACCAAAGGGGGAAAAAAACATATTTATCTTCAGATAATATATGTCAAACATTTCTCATGATAGTTCACTTAGTTATTGCACTGGGTTAGATCAGCTGACACAAATATTATGTACCATCTTTAAGCTTATGTTACAAATTGGAAACTTGAACAGTGGTGAACATTGTGCAAATCCCATTCTGTAAAAACGTTTTTGTCTCTATAAATAACAATCTAAAAACTGCTATCACCAGTACCAGAGAGGCCATAGCCTGCATCATTTTAGGTAACTTTTTGGCCCACATGTAGAAAAACACAGGAAGCTGATGTGAAATAAATGGTTTATTGAAAAAGAGTGATTCAGAGAGGCGGTCTGCAAGGTGACAGCAGCTCACTCAAAGGAGTGGAAAGAGGATATTGGAAAGTAAAATACCTAATTTCCAAAGGGGATGTGGTATTTTGTGTAGTAGTTACTATCAGGGAAATTATTTGATTCCAGAGCAGGTTTGCAGGAATAGCTTTGGTTTCATTGTAGGGTTGTCAGACAGTCAGTAGTGTTTACATAGGAGGTACTGAGCCAAGGAACTCAAGCTCAGTCTTTAAAGGTAGACCAGGAATCATTCTACTGGTAACACTGAAACAAGGAAAAAGACAGGAATAGCAAATTGTACACTTTGTACACTATATATATATTTATTTATATACACACCTTCTTTACCAACATTTATTTGATTTTGATTTAAAACTATATTAATTTAAATATTTGGAAAACATGATATACAATGTGGTAAATAATATGATGCTACTGGATGCTTTTGCTTAAGAACACATCTTATGCAAATAGCATACATTTTCTAACAGTTTCTAGGACATGTACTAAAGATATCTGATGTGTTTTACCTGTCCAAACCTTAAAGTAAAATAAAACTTCTAGGGTGATAAAATATATTTTAATCATTCTCGTTACCAAGTCAAAAGTATACACCAACAATTCCTTTATGCTGAGGAACTTGAGAAAAATGGAGAAGTCAATGCAGATTCCCTGACTTTTGTTTTCTGTTTGCCCAGTTCTGCATTAACTCAATCGAAGGTGTGACCTTCAGTTACACCTTAACTAAAGTGTGCACGTAGGTCAGCTTTTAGAGCCAGCAGGGAGAGAGCTGTAGATGAGGAGCAGGCTAACAGCATCCATAATGGATGAGACACATTTACTCTGGAAGGGGTAGAAGGTATAAAGACCTTAAACCTTAAGGCTGGGCGTGCGTATGCATGCTGCACACCATAGTTTGCTGAGTGAGAGAGCTGTAATAAGCTAGAGAAGTTATATGGGAATATTCACAATATAAAGATTTCTGCTTTAAAATAAAGCCATTTCGAGGAATTTGATTATTGCTGTGGCAGACAGAGGACAGAGGAGCTGTCTGATGTGAGCAAACACTGCTCCTTCTCTGCAGTTGCGGCAGTGATTTGTTCTGCTTAGATATTCCTCAGCCAGTGTACCATGTTTAGATTTAAAAGGACATCAAATCAAAAAGTGAGCTGAAGTTTCAAATTCAAGTTTCCTCTTAAAAAAAAAAAAATGTTTAAACTGTTTCTGATGTTGCCATATGTGTGTCTTCAGATATAGATGAGTGTGCAGAAGGCCTGATCGAGTGCCACAACCACTCCCGCTGTGTCAACCTACCCGGCTGGTACCACTGTGAATGCAGAAGTGGTTTCCATGACAATGGGTCCTACCAGCTTGACGGAAGTTCTTGCATTGGTGAGCAGAGTGAGCTAAAATCCCCCTTATCAGGGCAAAGAAAACCAGCCGCACATCATTAGATGTCCATCATCCTCACGTCTATTGACATTTTTTCTTTTTCTGTCTGTTAAGTAATGAAGTATTTATTTCCTCTATGCTCATAACTGCAGCTATGATTATGGCACCTATACAGTTCGCTGCTTGGCTTTTCTTTTATCATTTTCCTAAATTATGTCTTTTTTTTATGTCATTTTAACCTTGCATTGTTGATAGATTTATCTTTCTCAAATTAATGCACATACTAAACTTTCAAAAGTTATTTTTATTTTCGAATGATGCTTAAAAACAGAGAAACTTTGCCTCTAAAAAGCATATTTAAAACACAGAAATATTTCCTTACCATATGCATTACAGGAAATAAGGAATTAGATGTAATAAACAGACTGATAGAATAGCCAAAATGTGTACTTAAGAGTAGTAGAACTTCATCATATTTTTACTCAGGTAAAAGTAAAAAAGTTACCTTTAAAGAAATTACTCAGGTAAGATTGAATACACTTTTTGTAAAAAAAGCTGTTCAAGTACTGTGTGACTGGTTATAATATTTTAATAAATATTTTACAAAGTGATGAGTTTTTGAAGAATAATGTAGAAATAAAGGTGTAAAGAATACTGAAAACTTAGGAAAAAAAATACATACAATGTATAAGAATAGGTTCCTCCAAATGACATGGCTACCTCCGCATATTGAAAATAACATTTAACCAGTAAGTTAAATGTTAAGCCTTGAGTATAAAAAAAGGAAAAAGTGTGTCACTTATATTTGTTTAAAACAAGCTTGTTTTCATTAAGAATAGTTACTGACAATGGATGGAGCAGCGATTGACATTTTACTCAAGTAAGAGTAGTGATACTTTGTGATATTTTTGCTCAAGTAAAATTTTGAATTTCAACGCCCAATATCTATTGCTAAAAGATTTTTTTTTTTTTTTTTTTTCAAAAAGTCACTCAAGTAAATGCAACTGAGTAAATGCAACTAGTTACTACTCACATCTGGTAATAAATGTAGGAATATAATCTATATACTCCATTTACACATTTTACATAAAAAAATAACCATTTATGTTTAAATTTCAGCTAAAATGTCAAATATATTGTTGTGCCATTGTTTTAAAAATCAGCTCCTGAAATTTTTTAACTAAAAAATGTTTTTGGGTGTCACATTCAAATATAAATTCAGCTAACTGTCATAAAATATCTAACCAATCGTACCTTTAAAAAATATGAATTCAAAACTATTTCATTATGCTATTATAGTTTTCTTTGTGTAATAAAATCAATAACATTATATAACCATTGATTATCCCATAGATATTAGAATAACCATAATAAGTGCATATCTGGATCAAACATCCTCACAGCTTTACATTTGTCTCTGTGTAACTGCACCTAACACTTCTTCTTTCAATGTTGGATGAACTTCGAATCTCTAAAACACTTTCACTTCCAGAGGGGCAACTATAATTGGCTTTCTGGGCATTATAAAACCGCTAATTACAGCTGTAACTTTTTCCTCTTCCACCTTCTTGGAGAAGGGAGCTCACATTTAAATAAAATATCTTTTTTAAATTTTGCCATTTTTTGGTGCAGTTTATTGCTTTTAAGGTTATATTTCAATTATATATGATTATATCATTCAGTTATATTTTAAAGGTACAATCTAACAATGCTAATTTTTACAAGGACTCATTTAAAAATGTACAATCTGTTATAAACAGGCTTGGCTGTTCAGTGACATTTAAAGTTCTCATATACCTGCTTGCTCATATCTGTCTCTTACATTAAATGAATATCAAGTACTTCACCTCCTCGCTATATTACACGTGACCTTCGGCTTATATGAGAACAAGTGCTCAGAATCTCTCAAAATCTGGACATTCTTCTTAACAATCCAAGCATGGCAGCTTTGTACTTGTAATGAATGCAGCAAACAGGACTGCTTGACTGAGTGAAATATTTCTGCTGTCAATTAACCTTTGAATCAAAATGCAACATCAGCAGACTGTTCTCATTTATCTACCCGGATGGGAGAGGTATATTCTCAGCCGTTTCAAAATGAAAGTGGTCTAATTTAAATTCTACCAGGTCTGCAAAAATTGACTCAAGCTATGATGGTGCAAGTTTTAGTTTTTGGGTGATTTGGTGAAATGTGTTTAAACAGTAAGGAGCGTTCCAGAGCAGCTGTTTATTTCAACAAAATGTTTCCAAAAAGAAAATATTAAAATACTCTAATGTATTCTCTCTCATTTTAATTTAACAAATTAGATTTACAAGGTGGGGCTTCTTAGTTTTTTGCCTATTTTCAGTCTGTAAGACCCTCACCTGAATGTCCTGAATGCCACATCTTGTAGATCTACATCTGCCAACCTTTTTCTCACTAAGCCTCCTCAGCAGCAAATAGCATCCAAGTTCCTCATTGTGTTCCTATTTGCCTTCCAACCAAGCTGCAACCAACCTCCACCCCCCTCACACCCTGATCCACCTCCTACTCCAATCATCTCCCTTCCTCCTCCACCTCTTCACCGCCAGTGTCCACACCCTGAGGGGAAGACATATCTATTCACATAATTTACCCATTCTATCATCATCAGCAATTCTCAGCTCTACGTTTTCTACCGGGGGGGCTGAGCACCAAAATATTTATGTTCATTCACGTCAATAAACTCTCTAATTGCCTTCTTGTCTCCTTGTAAGTCTTCAGATTGAAATGAGTGCAGGCAGGTCACCTTGGTCCAACTACTAAAAGACTCTGCTTAAATAGACAGAATTTAACTTCCCTATGGTTTCTGTAATAAAACCATGTGCCATGAAAACGAATTATAATTAGTTATATTAGCCTCCTTGACTGGACATGTGCTGGTCGTACTAACAATTTATCAAAAGCCTTATTTCCCATCGCACTGCCAAGTGTTAGGCTTTAGGCCATCCAAAGAAATTACAGTAAAACCAGATATTTCCAACTCTGTAATGTCTTCTAAATGGCCTGCCATGTGTCAATAAAGCATGTAATAGCAATTTGTATCAAGATAGTAGAATTACAGCAAAGCTTTACCACTTGGTGTAATAATGTGGATTTTTTATGTTACTTAGTTTGCATGAGTGAGACAAAACAGGACGCAGTAATAAGGCCTTTTTACATTATTTAGGTACAATGGCTAATGTTGAAAAGTCTTATTAATTAAATAAATAGTACAAAAGATACTAATAGTTTGTCTATTACAAGGGCATGTTTCCAAACCAATTTTAGTATTCTATTAAAAGTCATTATTGTCATGAAATAAGGGTCAACAAAAAGCTAGCCTACCTGTCATTGCATTTTAATACATAATAAAAAAAACCTCCTTGATAACTGTGTTGTTTTCCAAATCTGAAATGGTCCCTGGCTCAAAAAAAATAAATACACAAAATGAAATAGAACTTTCTATCCAGTCACTATTGAAAGCCACGTTATGGTTTAATGGTATGAAGAGATGCTACTTTGGATAAAGATTAATCCAGATTTCCACACAACTGATACTGTAAAATATACAATTTCATATAAGCCAGACTGCTCATCTTTTGGGGTTTGTTTTTTGGTGAGTTGATAAATTCTCTGCATACGTAAGCATCGTTTATAGATGGTGGATTTATGGAAGTACTTCTTAAATGTTGTGACAATCACCAAATAATAATAGTTCTTAGTATCTTAAAACTATTCCTGCTCTTATAAAAATTAATTCACCTTAACGGATGGAAACCTTTGTGAGTCCAACAGCCTACACTGCTTTATGATTAATTCAGCAAATAACTAGTTGACCACTTGATTACTCATAAAACATTTAACCTTCTTCCTCAGATCAAAGAAAGTGTTACCCCATCCTTTTCAATCATCCTGCACCATACAAAAAACGACTCTTCAAAAGCAACAAACAGACTTTAAAGATGTGACTGGACTGCCACACATTTGACAGTAAAAGCATCCCTGGAAAGATAAAAAAAGAAACTGATGGCAGCTTAAGTCTTAAAGCTTTTTTTTTTTTTTTTGAAGTAACAACTCAGTGAGTTAGGCATGAAAGGACTGTCCACTTTTTCACGAAAGTTTAACCTGTCTGAAATCTGTTATCAGTTCCCAGAAATAGAACATTTTACAGATAACACTATTTATCCACCAGTTCAGAAAAAAATGTTTTATTAACAAAAATAATCTTTACTGTGATACATGCTGCTCATGCATTAGCAGATAAAATCACATTGTTTTACGTTGTCCTTCACTACTAAGGTGAGAACCAGAGCAGCTGCCAATAACTGTTTTACAGCTTTAACTAAAAGCTGCCTCCTCCCATGTTTATCATGCCTATCCCTTTAGGGGGGCGACAGGTGGCTGTAATAAACAGATTGTGAATAAAGATGATGATAACATACCGTAAATTCCCATTGTCGCTTTAAAAAGACAGGATGCCTGCCTCATTTTCTCTCTTTCTGTAGTGTACACGACCTCTCCATATGGACTGCCTCAAGACCTAAGAAGGATACATAATTTAAATACCCAAATACAGAGCTTTCTGATGCCTTCTAATTACACACATCTGTCACATGGATTTACTGGCTTGTGTCTGGTGTTATTATTGTGTAGTGTTTCTTTGTGCTCATGTATTGTGATGTTTTAACATAGGATTAGAGCTTTCATGTGTGACAGTACACTTGGGTGTGAGTGAAAGTTTCACGTATGGTTGCCTCGGCTCAGCTGCTCCATCCAAGGGGCTTTTGTGTTTGCTGTTTACAGCCTATATGTAGGAGTAAGCCTCATCTGCAAGCAGAAGCTTGTGGCTAAATCCAGTGAATGTAACATGAAGAGTATTAATCCATCACTAGCAGAGGTACAGTATATCTGAGTGGCTGATGGGGATTTCATTTAACGTATGCAAATAGCCTGTCGGAGGCACAATAAATATGCTGCTGAGCTTTTTTCCTCTCTGTCCCGCTCAAGAAGAATTGATAGTGGAGCCAATTAGGGGGCGCATTCAGTGGTGTCACAGTGTCTTGTTTGCAGCTGGTTTGACAAGTATGTCCCAACTCAACCCAGAGAAGGTTTGCTTGCTGGAGACCACTTATGATTTTCAGGAGAAAAAAAATGTAGGTTTGGATGCACAAGTTTGAATTGAAAATGGATTTAGCTCCACACAGGCTCAACATTGTTAATGCAAAATAAGGCCCATCATAAACTCTAATAAGGCAGATTACCTGTGTTGCTGCCCACCATGAAATAAGTTTCCAATTTCCATGACGGAGTGGGTGCTGAAAAAGAAATAAGATCCTTCTTTAAAATCAGCTCAACATAAATATGCAGCTCCACTCATGAAAAAGTTACATGCCTTCTGGAAAAGGTTTTATAGCTAGATGAGCCAAGGTGTGGACAATTAGATCCCATAGATGAGGAGTTTGTCTGGAGGAGTAAACAGAATAAGATGAGGACTATGCATAAACTCATAACTGTAGCTGAAAAGTTAACTTGGACACACACCAGATTATGTTTTTAAATGCTATCTGTGATTATCCCCGACTTTAAACTTACTGAAAATGGGTTTAATATATTAAAATACATTAATACAAGCAAACCAACCAGTTGAAATGAACATCATTAAGTCTGTGAAGATGACCAGTCAAATATGAGGCCAGAATATTTAATATATGGTGGGTGACATCCTGCCAAAATACCAGTGGGGGGCATCTGAAAGCTTTACTTGCAGTTCTGGTATTTTTAAATCCATTAAACTTGTTTTGGGCATGATTTGAGTCTGAAAAAGAGAGGCTCAAATAAATTATTAAAAAACTAAAATTTAATGAAATCATGTTATAAGTATATTTTATCTCTGGAACTATTTTAGAGATACCTAAACCTTTCTTTGAATTTCTTCTTTTAAATAAGGAAGTTTAATTTGTTTAAAAAAAATAAAATGAAATAAAAACTAAAAACATAATAAACTAAGAAAATGTATTTCTTAATTTTTGGAAAGTGTGAAACTGGAAAAAAGTGGAGAAAATCATCTGTGGCATAAAATGTTCTTGGTCATATAGGGGGGTAAAGCCAGAAGCCAAAATGTATTGATGTGCTGTACGACAGCATTTATTATCCGACCACTTAAGAGTGATTCACTTTAAGCTTGCCTGAATATGGTAAAGAAAAATACAGGCAGATGAAACAATTTTGAGACTGTTTTGTTTAGTCTAATTTGTACCAATTTGGTAACTGAAAGTTTAAAAAGATCAAATCCTCTAGATTGCGTGATAGAAATGTAAAAGAACTATGCAGAGAAACAGGCAGAAAGAAAACTGCTTTAATGGGCTCACAGTCATGTGAGATAGAAAGAAATTGACTTGCTGGCATGTTTTGCTCAACAAAGACAACTAATAAACAGGAACCTATTTTCTGAGGGATTTCTTTTTGTTTTGGGTCCTTTGTTTAAGCAGCACCAGCAGTGCGCTGTCAGCAGCATTATGGGGGTGATTAGAGGCAGCAGCTTCTGGCAGAGAAGAACAGAGCTGCTGTCAAAAGGCCTTTGGTCCTTTTTTTCTTTCTGAACAGCTCACATTTAAGGGGGATAAAGAGAGTAAAATGCCATGGTAAAAGTTAAGGAGGGGCTTTCTTTACCCTGGGGCTATGAAAACTAGATGAAAATATCATCCACCTCTTCTCTTTACGGGTTTCTTATTTTGGTCTCTTTGGGAATGGAAAAAAAGAGCTGACAGAACAGGGCCTTTGATGACTCAGCTAAATCAAAATTTGATGTTATTACAATATGCAAAGCATAATCCATATATATGAGAACAGGATGCAACATAGGACTATATAGATTTATTTAAATGCATATCATTCTTTTTCTAAATTATATAGAATGCTGACCAAGGTAGCAGTGACATGGTTTTATCTGGCATAGGTAAACTAAGTTGTAATTATAATGCAATTAAAAATTATGGATCATAGAGACCACTAAAAGGCTGTACATGTATGAATAAATCATGCAGTTAGAAATATAGAATTAAAAATGAATGGGTAAGAAAGATTCATTTAAAATACCACAGCCTAAAGGCAGAAGCTGGTGACACAGTTGAAACTTTTTTTCTTTAACACAGGCACAAAGAAATCCCTCTATGTGGTCTAAATATTTTTTTATAATTTAACAGTATAATAGCATTTAAACTCACATAGAGAAAAGCTGCAATTAGAAAAGTTCAATTCAATTCCGTTCATTTATACAGCGGCACTCTGAGGCACTGCACAATTTTTTTTTTTTTTATTACAGGAAAACCAGCTGATTGCATGGACTCATTGACTCTCTGCAATCTCTCACACGGAGTATGCATGCAGCGACAGTGGAGAGGAAAACTGACTTTAACCAGGGAGAAACCTCCAGCAGAACCAGGCTTAGTGTGAGAAGCCATCTGCCAAGGCCGACTGGTGTTCAAAGAGATAGAAGCAGATATACAGAAATTGACATTAATTAAAATATTTCTTTGGCACTCGGGGTTAGAGTAGTTTTATCCCCCAAAAAGAGTGCCTCGGCGGGACCCCCACACCAGGAAGTGAAGGGATAGAAATTATGGTAGAGAAAGGAGAGAATGGTTACGGCATGTGGTAGAGGGAGAAAATGATGGCCAACCACCATCAGTCATTTGCTCAATGTGTTTACGTTGAGGCTAAGAGAGCTTTGAGCAGGTAACAAAGAGGAGAGATGTGGACAGATGCAAGGGCCTGAGAATTAGAAGCGTCTGTGGTTCTATTATAGGTTTGTTAGGCTAAAGCTGGAGGAGACTTACCTGAAAAAAGGAATACAGTTGTCTTCCCCCAAAAGAGCGTCTGGTGACAATTACAGAAGAGATGTGCTGATGAAGTACTGAGTGTCGAGGTGCGTTGAAGATGCAAACAGTATTGAGAGGCGCTGATGATGTTGTGAAAATGCTGCTAAAGTGCCAGGAGGAAAAGGGCTGGTGATGCCCTGAGAGGAAAGATGCACTGA